ACCCAAAAATATATCTTCTTTGTCTTTGAATACATTCATTTCGTCTGATACTATATTTTTTTCCTCTCACGGTTTTATTTAAATAATCAGAAGAAGGTGTGGGGGGCTATTTTTTTTTCTCTCAAGGTTGAATCAAACAATCACTTCAATAATACATATATGTTTTATTCAAAGATTTGAAAAAAATCAAGATTTCTCAATTAATAACCATGAAATTGATTAATTATTAGGTATCGACTGAAAGGCATCATACTTTGACACTACCATTTTGAATAAAAGCATTAGAAATATTGAAATTACCAAAACTAAGGTTATATATAATATTAAATACATTCTGTGTGTTCCTTCTTGCATAGTACTTCCATTTTGTTTTGTTTCATTGAAATGAATAGTTTGCCATTGGCATTGATCTGCTTCAGAATGATCAAAAAATATTATCTTCAATTTATAGTTCAAATGAGTGGCGTTCGCTTCTGGAATTTTTATGCTGAAAACGGGTAATTCACCATAATTTTCCTTGGATGAGCTCAACACTTTCCACGATGATCTATTGCAATCCAGTTTCGTATTTTTCATATCGAAACATATAGCAATATATTGAGCTTCTTTGGGTACATTTGTATATATTATACCATTTACAATAGCTGTCAAAATTATGAAATTTGATTTCAATGAAGTCATATTTTTTTCAATGAAAGATATTTATCTTTACTCTGTGAGGTACTATTCGAAACTGAGATTATTTTCATCATTGACAATCATTTAGCAGAATGTCAGACGAACCAAAGCCTCTTTCCCCTCTTTCAGTAGCATGCAAAAAATTAACCTCCTCAATAATTGGAATAGAATATCGTTCACATATCAATTGAGCTATTTTATCCCCTCTTTTGAAATCAACTTTTTCAGATGATGAATTATATAGCAGAATTTTAATTGACCCTGTATAATCATTATCTATAACGCCAGCTAGAATATCTATGCCAAATTTTAACGCTAATCCGGATCTGGGTGCAATCCGTCCGTACACTTCTTGGGGGAGTTGTATTTTTAAAAAAATGTCTACGAGTAATCGCTCTCTAGCAGGTATAGTGAAATCTGTAGGTGTTCTTAAGTCACAACCAGCAGATCCAAGAGTAGCTCTTGTTGGTATATAAGCAGCTTGATTAGTTTTCATCACTTTTAGAACCTTAAAATATAAATAAAATAATTCAAAAGTGAAGAGACACCCACGCACAAGATTATATTACCATTTTTTCGTCAACAGTATTCATTTTTCTCATTCAATATTAAAGATTTCTATTAGAGAGAATATTTCATGTATTTCTCACCTAAAAAAATAATTCACTTATCTCAATCTAGCTCCATCAAAATTTTCAAAGTCAATAATGATAATGAAACACTCACCCCAAATTCGTTTGCTTCTTCTTCTTCTTTGGTATATAAATTCACTGTGTTTTCAACTAACTGTGTACTTCTCGAACTGAATTTCACCTTATATAAATAGTTCTCCGTTGCATATACATTCACTTATTTTGAAAAAAATGTTTCCATTTCAATTTCCTGGTGCATGTTAACCTTTTATGTATAGCTGATGCAATAGATTCATTAATTTCCATTGCATAAGTCAATTATTTATTCATTTTTAATATACCTATACGTACTGGTACCTGAATGTTATATTTCATCGATAACATTGGGGAATTGGAACTTTCAAAGAATATGGGTACATCGGACTTCAGAATACCTAATTTTCTAAGAAGAACTTAGGTACACAAAGCGAAACATTATATCATTTCCATATTTTGTCTTTTGGCGCCATCCAGAACGCTTTGTGGTCCGTTTTTTTGTGTTTAATGTGCGTTTTTCAATGTTTTGGGAGTAACATATACTTATTTTATGAAAAGGAATACTCTAGGAACACAAAAACAGCCATATAGACTAGCAAAACATATTAAATATTGAAAACAGTACCAGTAACGACACCTCGCGGAATTAGGTTGAAGCGTGAACCATACGAATAGATTCTTCAAAAAGACCTCTGTGAAAGTTAGACACAGAAAAAAGTTTCCACTCACGCCCGAATGAGGACCCCAGCGGTACGGTGGAATCAAAGGTAGGTTTGAAGAACGGAAATATTGAAAACAGTATCAGTAGTGACATCTCACTTAATTAGGTACTCTAGGAACACAAAAACGGCCATATACACTAACAAAACATATTAAATATTGAAAACAGTATCAGTAGCGACACCTCGCAGGATTAGGTTGAAGCGTGAACCATATGAATAGATTCTTCAAAAAGACCTCTGTGAAAGGTAGACGTAGAAAAAAGTTTCCACTCACGCCCGAATGAGGACCCCAGCGGTACGGTGAAATCAAAGGCAGGTTTGAAGAACGGAAAATATTGAAACCAGTATCAGTAGCAACACCTCGCTTAATTAGGTACTCTAGGAACACAAAAAACGGCCATATAGACTAGCAAAACATATTGAATATTGAAAACACAGAATAATCATCAGTTCTACAAACCTTGGAAAACAGTATCAGTAGCGACACCTCGCGGAATTAGGTTGAAGCGTAACACATACGAGTGGATTCTTCAAAAAGACCTCTGTAATAGGAGAAGGTAAGCATAGCAAACAGTTTCCACTCACATCCGAGTGAGGACACTAGCAGTACCGTAAAATCAAATCTATGTAGAACATAGAAATATTTACTGAAACTCATTCATAAGCCTGATATATTTATTTAAATTGCTCATATTGGCCCAATGAAGCAAAATGAACCCCCCAAATATCCATATACCCATCCATATGTCGAAAATCCATACTCATGGACCTCCAAAAAATATCTCTCGAAAACAGGGGGACAAGTTGAGTCGTACCTACACTTGCACGTTGATAAAATGGACCCCCCATAGCCACTTGGTAACGTGTCGGCTTGCCAACCCAGAGATCCAAAGTTCAAATCCTATACGGTATGATTATCTTTTTTTAATTAAATAAAATTATTAAGTGAACTGAACGTTATACGTCATAATGAATGTAATAGGTTTCCATTAGGCGGGCCAACTGCCAAAATTCCCTACAAACCGCATTGTTTAACTACTAATACAGGGTGTCACGAGTTCCGACCGACAACTCAACACTCGTCAGGTGATAGCCCTTATGATTTTATAAAGAATATTAGATGAAACTTGAGGTCCTTGAGTGGTTACTTTCGAAGATACAGAGTTTTGAAGTTGAAATTCGGATGATATACTTACTTCCGTCATTTATTCTCTTTTGACCTGTCGAGCTAGAATATTTAAGAATATTCAGGGTGATCCATTTGAAAAAACAAAGTTGCTGGTATTTCCGGAAAAACCGAAAGTCCGCTATATTGGATTGTAATGTGATCAAATCCGAAATGGTTGATTACCTATATAACTAAACTAAATTTTAGAAAAAGCCGTTCACGAATGTACACTCACCTCCAGTGAACATGTCGTGGTTGGACAGTATGAGCGCTCTTATTGCAGCGGTGATTAAGAGAGCTGACACCGTCCATGTGCGACATGTTCTCTGAAGATGACTGTACCTTATACTGAATCTCTTTGAAAAATAAATAGCTCTAGTAACAATAAATTTTGTTTGTAAGAATGGCGATTGAGATAAATATTTATTGGGGCTATGGGTGACCGGTCGTGTCGGCCACCATTATACTCCATTGCGGAATGAAACATTATGTTGAGCAATAGAACATTTTCAAGATGCAATTGGTGGGTAGCAATGATATCAAATTGCACATTAATTGATGAAACAATTTTTCTTTTATCCTTTTTAGTTTCTCCGAAAAGGACCCCAACTTTTGATTTTCAAATAGGACACCCTGTATTGTATTCCATAATCGGTTAGGGATTAGTGAGAATTCAACGATACTGGGTTTGATAGGGTTATTTCAAATGAATACAAAGATATTTGCGTTCGAAGTTGCGTTCGAAGTTTCCATATGCTCATTGGGTGTGACTTCGCAATATCAAAACTTCTTTCTCTGTCACACTCATTGAGCATATGGAAACTTATAACGCGAATATCTGCGTAGTCGTTTGAAATAACCCTATCGAACCCGATTATGGAATTCAATACAGGGATTTCTATTTTAGTATCAAAAGTTGGGGTCGTTTTCAGTAAAAAGGGAAGTGATAGAACAAAAACTGTTTTGTCAATTGATGAGCAATGGGCGTGTACACCTTAGTAGAACTTTGAACTCAAACCATGTTTATAACGATCCTTTCATACATAAATACTGATTGACGACATAATTAGATCGAAAAAACAAGTGGAATGTTTTATTTTTGGACATAAATAATAGTATTTTCTGAAAACGGGCACTCTCATGACGTAGAAACCTCATCTCGCCATAGTTAAAAGAAAATACCAAACGCCCGACGGAGACTGAGGCAACTGACATATTAATTCTTTCAACTGTGATCTCGCGCTAATTCACTTTGTCAGAAATCATGCATCATGCATCCCTGTCTGGAATAGTCTTGTTTCAGCGTTGGGGTTTTGACGTCACATCATCGCCTCGTTTTCAGAGGCCCGAAAAATCGGGGATCTCAATGATTTTTTATAAAACGTAGGGAGCTCACAGCAAGAAACGGTTTGCGGTGGTGAGCTAGTTTGGGTGAGTTCTATCGAATTATGAAATAACATTTTTTTGTGATATAAGCCCATTGCGTATACTAGTTGCCCACCAATATTCAAAACCCAATAGTAACAGTCCTGGCCGTTTTTTGTGCACTTCTCTGTATTTTTAGCGAGGAAAATGCAAATATTTGGTTGAAAAGCAGAAAAGAAAAATGTTACTTGTGATCATTGCATTCGAATTACTTATTTAAATTTTTAAGGCCATCAAATTTTCATCAATAGGAATATTAAATAATCTACATATTGAAAAAAATGCTTAGGGGGGCACCATTGCCCTGCTCTCCCCTATCGTCTGATATTACGTACTAACCTGTCCATCTGGCGCCCTTATTCAAGTGAACGAGGGCGATATCGTTGTAGTGGGCGACCGCCTGGGAATCGTACCCGGGATGGACGATCACTTTGGCGACGCGACTGATTTGGGGGGGATCGGCGCAACTTCTGTTGCCTACGTCGCAGTCGATTTTCGATTCGCTATCGTGCTCACCCAGGATCACGGCAAATCTGCAAAAATATCATAATCAGCATCCTTTTGGATATAGAAGTGGTTCGAAATCCACTATAAGCTGTAGGTCCCGCTCTTCCTAACCCCCCACAAGTTTGGACTTCTGGGGAGTTGGTTCTCAACTTTTAAGTTGCATATACAAAATATCAAACTAGGAATCTATTTTCCACTCGCCGAATTCCAGAGCGCACTAGCACAAAGCAAGTACAAGTGGCACTGGCTCGGTTCGTCCGAATAGTGCAGTTCCAGCACACAGCAGTGGAATAGAAATCGAGAGTTCGCGAGACCTTTTGTCTTTTGTTGAATTATTGAAAATACATTTTTGGTTTTGCTGGTTAACATAACATAGTTTCATCCACATCTTTAGGTTTCTCTGTGAACAGTGCCAGAAACAGTCTCAATCAATGTTCATTGTCGATGATGTTCAATAATTGAATGTATTCTTCATCAAAACTGAATCAACAATAATAGTTGTTTAGGTACCAAAGACGCAAAACATGTCTATTATAGTCGATTATGCAAATTGATAGTCGAGGCCTTAACCGAGGCTAACAATCAGGCGAGACAACAGACAGTCAACAGTATTCTAGAACAGGCCGTATCTGCGCTTTGTAGATCATGAGAAGCTGTTGAGATGTGTAAAGTAGCTTTTCGCACGGAACAAGAATCCGAGTTTTTGTGCAGCAGCTTTTGCGATGGATCTGACATGATTATCCCATGAAAGAGTGTTGCTGATGGAAATACTGAGCATGAATATGGTGGGCTTGGTGGGGATGGTGGTGCCAGACATTACAATATCGGGCATACTGAGTTCCGCCTTTCTAGAGAAAATACAGGCTTGAGTTTTGGTGGCGTTGAATTCAACTAGGTTGTTGGTTCCCCAGGCTGTGATTTCAGCAACGTCTTCATTGACAGCATTGACCTGCCTGCGCCGTGAGTTCTTAGTTTTCTGGGAAGAAATGGGAATTCTGGAAGAGAACGCAGTATGGAGGGTACTATCATCTGCAAAGCTGTGGATGGGACGAGTTGTTACTCCCAACAGATCATTGATATGAAGCAGGAATAATGTTGGTGCCAAAATTTGTCCTTGTGGAACGCCGGAATTGATGCCAATGGTATCAGACGATACACCGTCCACCACCACGTGAAGCGATCTGCCTGAAAGAAAACGCGATAAGAGATGGCATAGCTGAGGTGGTAAGCCGTATGATGGTAGTTTGTGGAGGAGTCCTTCGTGCCAAACACAGTCGAATGCTTTCGATATATCCAACGCGACAGCTAGAGATTCTCCGTGTTTTTCTATTGAAGATTGCCATAAATGGGTGACGTAGGCAAGTAGATCTCCAGTAGATCTTCGGTGGCAAAAGCCGTATTGTCTATCATTGATGATTCCCGAGCTCTCCAGATATTTGAAAAGCTCAATATTGATGGCTTTCTCCATCACTTTGGAGATTACTCATAACAGGGCAATGGGCCTGTAGTTGTTGAGCAGGTTCTTGTTTCCTTTCTTGGTGATTGGTTTGACTCTAGCTGTCTTCCAGAATGATGGAAAAATACCCGACCTGTACGACTGTACGAGACGGTAAACAACTTGCAGAGAATCGGTGAGATTCCTATCTTATTTCCCTCAGTTCTCACGATGTTCTCTGAACATTATAGGATATCCCTTTCCGTGGGAACCAGAACATAAAGGAAGCCCTACTCACAACGGTCCTCTCGCCCTGACGAACCCCTCGTCGACGCAATGCGCAGCAGTCAGCACGTACTTCGCGTGCACCAGAAAGCCGGAACAGCCCAGCGACTTCGCGCCGCGCCTCGTTTTGTGCTCCAGCCGCGCCATCCACGGGAACTCGCCCAGCTGCGCCTCGGTGCCGCCGATGATCCGGCCGGACATCTTCGTGCGCTGAATGCCGCACCGCTTCGGGAAGATTCGCTTGAGATCGTCCGCTTTAGAAGGGATATTCTTGGCTGAAATAAAGCAATGAACTCTATACAGGGTGCTAAGAAATAAGTGTCACAACGGAAAACTGTAGATTCCTCATAATAGAAGAAACATTTCTTTATTCTCCAACATTTTTCTCCGGGCTTCCGTTTTCAAGATACAGGGCGTCAACAAATCGAAAATGTTCAGTTTAATTAAACACACTTTACAACACTTAATGAACCTAACAATTTGAAAACCAGCATCGAGACTAGCACACTCAAGAACCTGACATTTGATTGAACATATTATTAGACAGTTCTGAGGTGTTTATTTCCAGTGGATTTTTAGACGATTTCTGTAGATACCATCAGGATTCTGTATTTCTTTTTCATAAAGAGCCATTTTCTAGGAAACTGTTCACTTTAGAGCATTGAGATGAGAGGACGGTTTGTGTGTGAAAGATATTGGCGCTTCAGAATCTACTTTGAAAATTACAATTTCTCCAGTGGCATAAATGTTTGGGGGGTTAAACCCTTACGAGGCGTTGAATTCTCGCAAGTGTTTCCTTCCCAAATTTTATTCGTTTATACGAACTATCGCATAGATTTCGGGAGGATGTAATGCAATGTTCTGCGTGGCATATAGCCAGAAAAATAGTTGTTTTTTTCTCGTTATCTACCATTATCGTTCATTTTATGAACTAGTATGTGGTAATGACTTTGAGTTTCTCTCTCTTTGTGACCATTGCATTCCACTTTGAGTATTTGGCTTTTTCCCTAGTTGAAAATACGCCAGTCGGGCAACCAGCCATTCCCATTTCACCTGAAATGGGATTTTGTTTTGGAGTGTTTCTTTCCTTGCCAGGTGGCGTTCGGCGCTCGCGTTTTCATTTCGCGGACTTCAAATGCATCGTATGGTATAAATGCTGAGATGCGTTTACGTTGGGTCAGGTTCGCACCAGATAGCGGTCAAGAAGCTATCTGGGACAGCCCTGTACTGATGAGAGCCAAGAGCTCGAAACCGGTCTGCAGGTAGTCAGCGTTCCTGAACCACTTAAGCGCAGCTCAGCGTTTGGGAAGAAAACACTTGCGATTTTATTCGTTTATACGCATAGATTTCGGGAGGATGTAATGCAATGTTCTGCGTGGCATATAGCCAGGAAAGTAGTTGTTTTTCTCTCGTTATCTACCATTATCGTTCATTTTATGAACTAGTATGATGAACTGAGTTAGGGGGCGGTCAAAAATAAACGGGAAAACTCCTGTAGTGCAAACAGGGTGATTTACGGTGGGGGTACATTATACGTTTCTGGTGAAACAAACATCGAATCACTTTTTTTAAATTTCCGTAAAATATTGCGTATTGTTTGCTCATTTGGTCAATAATATCACTGTTGAAAGAATAATTCTCAATTGTGATGATGTGGACCATGAAAAAGGATGCCTGCGAGAAAGCGTTGCCACAAAATACCTATACATTATCTGTTTCGAAAATTACAAGGCAACAAATAAAAATTCAACTCTGACAAATAAGATAAAGTTCTGTAATTTTTGTAATTAAGATTACTTAGCTTGTAAAACAATATTTCTGGAGGTTACTGACTTGAAATAACGATATAGTTATAATTAGTAAATTAATGATAATTTTTAATTAGTTTGTGTTCCAAAATTTCACATTTTTGACACTGAATACTTATCGGTATTCATACAGTACATACATATTTCACATGACATTATGTATACAGAATTAATAAAAAGTATTGATCCATCTTGCGTTATGCCAATATGTGATTCCAACGAATTATCAAAATCCCGTTAATTTGGGATATACAGTGTGTTTCAATTTGTTTCACCCCACCCCTGTACATTCGTATTCCTAGGGCGATTTGGAAATTTTTTGTTCTCACAGTATACTTCTCAAAATCATCTACTTTTTCGAGCAAACAAAAATCTTCAATCACAATTTCTTAGCCTACTGCGGTCACGAAAACTCAACTCAAAATTAAAGAAAACGGATTAGGCATTTTTTTACAAAAAAATTTTGTGTAGGCGATCGATTTAGACTAGTCACAAATACTCCTATATGAATTTTCACAATAATATCTCATACGGGGTGTTTTTAATCAACATTACAATTTTTCCATAATTGCACTTTTCAAGTCACCGTGTATAATAATTCTTAGAATTTGAATGATAATCAGGCATGATGGTAGTCAGGATTAGATCATTTGGCGACAGAGTGAGATAAATAACTAATAAAATCACTGAACATTTATTCAACAACAAAAAAATATATACAGTGTGACCCATTTAAGATGGAAGCACCCTTATAAAACTTACATTTTTCAACCGATTGGAATGATTTTTTTTTTGTTAGGTAGATATTCAAAAAGTCTATTAGGACACCAAATATCATGAATAAATCTCCATTTCCAGGGCCAACTAATCTGATTTTTCAAGGTCAAAAATCTAAAAAAATTACTAGCGATTTTTTTAGAAAAAATCTGACTACACCACTGGATTTGTGACATTTTCAAATGGGTAACATGTAAATTACGTTGAAATGCGTCAATCAATAAAAAAGTTATAAAAGGAATGAAATTTGAAAAATATGCCGTTTAATCAACCCATCAATTTTTATTACTGAACAGATTTCGATGAAACTGTGATCAGTGATATTTCAAGACATCCTGAATCCAGTGGAGTATACAGAATTTTCATAAAATTCCTGAACATGAATTGGTGGGTTGATTAAACGGCATATTTTTCAAATTTCATTCCTTTATAACTTTTTTATTGATTGACGCATTTCAACGTAATTTACATGTTACCCATTTGAAAATGTCACAAATCCAGTGGTGTAGTCAGATTTTTTCTAAAAAAATCGCTAGTAATTTTTTTAGATTTTTGACCTTGAAAAATCAGATTAGTTGGCCCTGGAAATGGAGATTTATTCATGATATTTGGTGTCCTAATAGACTTTTTGAATACCTACCTAACAAAAAAAAATCATTCCAATCGGTTGAAAAATGTAAGTTTTATAAGGGTGCTTCCATCTTAAATGGGTCACACTGTATATATCGAATTTTGTCGGGCAAAAATTGTTTTTTCGATATCAAAAAAGTTACTATACCAATATGTTCGCTAACATTTCTGTAGTTGTCGGATTGGCCGCAGCACACTTTAGGGTTCTGCCTGTCCTCGTTGTAGGGACCGCACATCGACTCCCTGAGGAAATTCCTCGCTTTCATGTTGGCCAGCTGATTCAACAGTTTTTGGCATTGTCTGATGCCTAAGCAGAAGCCCACATCTCCGTTGGGCGTTTCACAGACAGTTGCCATTTCTGAGAAAAGAAAAGTAAAACAGGTTGATGTCAATATCTTCCGAAATTGATGAAGTATGAGGCTTGATTCTTTTATTTTCTCTAGGAGTACAGGAAAGGGAATTCCTATATGATGTTCGAGGAACATCCTGAGCACAATGTAATTCATTGGACGTCCATAGAATATAAAGAATATTTGAATATATAATCTCACAATATTTTTACATTGTGATACATATTTTCTAGAGACGTTCTATGAACATTCGGAATAAATTGTCTTCCTGAGAATGTTCCTAGTAAATTGAACGAGAAGGAAGAATATCAAGAAAAAGCTTGCTTCGGTCGAGATGCGAAACTACTGTCTTGTGATTGAATTTTCACGAAACTGAAAACTCCTCTATATTACAAAAGAAACTGTGAAAATGGCCGTTATGGATCACTCAAATGTCAAATTTTGACATATAAAGGACGATAATCGACCAAAAACCTCCCGTATAACGCCTCTGTTTATAATATTTTTCATCTAATTGGGGCCAAATCACCTACTTATCACTAGAAAAAATGCTGCCAGATTCAAAACAAATACGTGAGAAGATATTTGAATCAATATTTAGCAATAGTGTTTTTCAGAGGTTTACTTTCCTTGTCGTGATCGAAAAAAAACTGAAAAAAATTATTGTAGAAGGGTTAAAACCACCCTCATCCCCTGACATTTTTTTCAGAACTTTTTTAGGGGTCATCATATGGTTCTGAAATTTCTTGAGCTTGAAGACTAATCAATTACCTCTATTGTATTCCTCCTGTAAAAATTTCGTATACCGCATAGTTTCGAAGAAAAAAAATGTTCTCTCAAATAATGCTACCAGATATTCCTAGAGGAAGAGAGTACAAGTTTAATGAGATTGCGATATAAAACTTAGTTGGCAGTGGAAACAAAAGCAGAACATGTCCTCATAATGAATGTTCAATATGACCATCGTCGTTGTCTCGTAGTGCGTCAACGGCATTTTGGATTCTGTTCCACAGTTGTTCGGAAGTATCAATTTGAACTTGATACACTTGTGTTGTCAACGTTCCCCAGATGAAGAAGTCGCACGGATTCAAATCTGGAGACCGCGGAGGCCATTGAATAGGTGCTTCTTGTTCCCTACCAATCCATCTATCAGGATATTGTTCGTCCAGACATTGTTTTGTTATCTGAAGAATTCATAGAAACATTTACAGACAACGTCAACAGCAAATTTGAATGACAATAAATTTGTTATCTGACAAAATCACGACTTGCCTTCGTTTCTTCGAAATTATGCGGTACCTATACGAAATCTTTACACGAATAAAAAAATTAAAGTAATTGATTAGTCTTCAAGCTCAAATAATTCCAGAACCGTATGAAAAAAATTTCATTGGGTGAGGGTGGTTTTAATCCTTCTACAATTTCTTTTAGGTTTCTTCGATTACCGAAAGCAAAGTAATACATTATTGCCAATAAATTTCATCAAATTAGTTTTACTTGTTTCTGAACAGCGTACAAAAATGTGTTTTTTATGTGAACTATGAACCCTTCTCACGGACAAACGGTACATTTTGACACATAAATGAATTGGGTCCAATCAACTTATTTTGACCTCTTCTATACGTGGTAGCTCTGTGTCTCAGCAATTTTGGGACACCCTGTATAGTGTATATCTCTGTCTCCCATTTTATGTATACACTTCTTACTTAAATTCACTGTCGAATTCGCAATATTATCGGCACTTTTCTGTGGAAATGCACGACCCGTGTTGTTGAAAACTGTCTCTACAAGGTCCTCGTGACTCGCAGAATTTCCATCGCCGACACTTCTTCGTGAAAAACCCGAAACTTCCACATAACCAGAAATTATTGTCAGTGTGGTCACGAACAAACACAATTTCAACAACATTTCTTCTTTCTCATTCTGAACAAACTCAAATCTGTTCGATACAGTATAGCGAGTTGTATGTCATGAACCGAAACCAACTAATTTGTTTACCGATAAGGCAAGATAATCAATTATTATTCATGTATTATGAATAATACAGGGTGAATTAAAGCTAGGTGATACTCTGACACTAATAATTTGGCTCATCAAGTCAGAATAAGGAAGTTCACAGGATATCAATTATACAATGTGATATATTGAGTGTGTGACTGAACTAAAAAAGGATATAATATCTATTTATATGAAGTTTGATGCACGACGCGTAGCAGGAGTGATATTCTTTCTCCCGTAGGAGTAAATTGATAACTTTGTTACCTCAAATGTGTGAGTAGATAAAGTATTATAGTAGTTAAACAAAAAAGCGTCCCTCAGGACGATAGAACATAAGAAAAAGAAAAAGCGAATTCAAGATCAATGATGAAAATAAACCTAATGTAACTCACATATTTTTTTTACAAAAACGAAGACATCAATCTCAAGAAGTATTGATTTTTCTTCTCTATATTGATAACAGGAGCAGATTTGTTACCTGAACGTCGAAAGATTCTATATTATTTCAATATTCAATCTCTTTGCAGAAAAAATCCTACCAAGGAGTACCGATAACACTTTTCTCTTCTGTTTCTGATATTGAAATTGTAATCACACTTGAATTTCGGGGCAAACCAACTGACTTTGGATACACATAATAATATACCTACCTCTTACTCTTATTGGGTCACCCGGTACCAACTGAACGTCAAGAATATCCAACCACAATACCACTATTGTGGTGGATATGAATTCAACCTACATAAGGTCTGGAAAGGATTCGCGTCATTTTCAACCTTCAGAAAACCCAGTTGACGATCTGTGATTTATTCAGCACAATTTCTTGAACACATTACCATGTCAACAGAGTTTTTTTCACTTTAATAAGGTTTCGTATATAATTAATTTTTTCTCCGATTGGCAGCAAATATTAATTTTGCTGACACATATCAATCAGCAAAGTATTACTTTTCCTGCCTAGGCAGCAAAGTGGTTACTTTGCTGATTGATATGTATCAGCAAAATTAATAATCCATAAATCGTTCATAAATTCCTTCATATTTCATCCGAGACTTCTTCGGCAACAAATTCAACTCTATATTTTTTTCCACCTCCCTTATTTCGCTATCACTGTCCATTATATAATAATTTAAATATACCGATATTTTTTCGCACAACTGTCAGAATTTTCATGAATTGTCAAACTATAATTATCATGAACAACTGCGATTTCTATCAAATTTCATTTTAATTGAACACTACAGGAAAAATAAAGAGATTGTGGGAATTGTAATGGTTTGCAATTACAATATCCTCCTATATCATTATGAACAATCGGAGAAAAAATTATATGTTCAAATCGGCAGCAAAGTAGATTGACTGCCTTAGCTGGATTCCTAGCCTCGCTACGCTCGGCTATGAATTCAGCCTCGGCAGTCAATCTACTACTTTGCTGCCTAGTTAAACAAATAACTATTTTTTGAGGTACATACATTAATATCCACTGAACAGCAGATGGTAATACATCTAGTAAGTACAGTTATAAAAATAAGTCTATTCTAAGAGATCTGTAGAAGCAGAACAAAAAGAGAGTCCATTTGGATGATTTGACCTAAACATGACCAAAACTAGTACCTAAATTGTATTGTATAAATTCATTCCAATAACTTTGATTCAACTCCGGTAGTTTTTTGATAGAAGAGTATATACGCTTTTCTACTGATGATCAAATCTGATGAAATTTTTGAAACACGACTATCGTTGAATTCGTGTCAGGTGTTCGAGTACGAATGTTTGCAATAGGCTGTATAGAGTGACCACTGTTGATGGTACCACTGTAGTTCGAAATAGCATAGAGATCGTACTGGAATGGTACACTTCCATCGGCAGCGTATAATGACTCATATCGAGTCTGTCTAAACTCTAAAAAGACGTTCAGTTTTTCCACGAACCGATCCAGCGAGAAACGTTTCAGATAGATGAAAAGAATTTCAGGGAACCTCTGAATAGGTAATGACTTTGTATACATTTTCGCCTTTCCTTGCATTTGGAGCAAGTATAGGCTTGTCTTCGCCATCCAATGACTCCTCTCTGGTGAATGAGTCCAAGCACTGAAACAAACTGATTTTGCACTTTTGCTGTGTTATTGGCAATGACAAATCCCAAAAGGGATCAAACGTCACTGAGGAATAGCCGCAATACGTGCATTCCAATGAAGACTTGAGCAGACCAACAAATTTGTGCAATTTCTGAATTTCAGACTGAACAATTCACGCACTATTGAAATCATAGACGTAGCTTTGGACATATAACATCAGAGCAACGTAGAATTATGTCAGATTTATTATTTGTCTACAAAATACTGACAAATTACTATAACTCTTTCGTGTTGTTATCATTCATCTCATGGCATGTACCATCTAGACCCACAAGACTAAAAATATTTTTAAACGTCAATTTTTGTCACACAAATTTGGAACTGAACTCGCCAATGAGTAGGTTGAGTGACAACTTCAATAAATATTGCATCAACGTAGTATTGGACTATGGTTATTGAAACACTATTCAAATTCTAACAATTTATATTCACGATGTGTGCTCTACAAAAGATAAACGATTAATAATCTATATTCTCCAACGACTGTCCTCTTATTCATCATGTAACGTAACCATCTGAGTCATGTCTTACTAATAGAATCAGAAGGTATCGATGTATAGGGTGGTGCGGTGTAATATCCAGTTTCTAACATCCGGCCATCCTACAAAGTCCTTGTCCTCAAGGTATCGATCTGAAACAAAAATCGGTATTGATGAGTATCTGGACAGTCGGTGTCATTCGTTTTTTTTTTTTTTTTTTGGTACTTCACGTGTGTTGATAAATGCTCAGTGTTTGAGACGTTTCTTATTAAACAAATTTCTACGGGACTGCTCCTGTGAGACAGTGTTTTAGAAATTCGCAATGATCCAGGAATGAATTTTCATAAGACTGCACATACAGCGATTCGAAAATGTGTTCGTCATCAATTTCTACCGAATTTCTACAGTACTGACCTGTCGAGGCCAGTGTTTTAGAAATTGCCTAGAATAATGATCTATATAATTTCTTCGTCATCAATTTCTACCGAATTTCTACAGTACTGACCTGTCGAGGCCAGTGTTTTAGAAATTGCCTAGAATAATGATCTATATAATTTCTACGGTACTGTCAATGATCCAGTGTTTTAGAAATATATTCGTCATCAATTTCTACCGAATTTCTACAGTACTGACCTGTCGAGGCCAGTGTTTTAGAAATTGCCTAGAATAATGATCTATATAATTTCTTCATCATCAATTTCTACCGAATTTCTACAGTACTGACCTGTCGAGGCCAGTGTTTTAGAAATTGCCTAGAATAATGATCTCTATAATTTCTACGGTACTGTCAATGATCCAGTGTTTTAGAAATATATTCGTCATCAATTTCTACCGAATTTCTACAGTACTGACCTGTCGAGGCCAGTGTTTTAGAAATTGCCTAGAATGATGATCTATATCATTTCTACAGTACTGTCATTGATCCAGTGTTTTAGAAATTGCTTACCATATGTCATCGGTTCTTGAAACGAATGGTTTCATGTGTTCCGCTGCTATGACTGCCTCATAGCGTTTGGAAGTTTTGCATCTCTCGGATCCCAAATCGTCCTTGACCTTATAACGATCATTTCCCATTACTTCTTGTACCGTGAATGGTCCTTTGAATTTTTTTCTTAGCTTTTTGCTGGTTCCATCACTTTCGAAGTTCATAACTTTGACAAGCACTTTATCTCCTACTTGATAATCTGGGGCTCTAACACGTTTAGCGTTATGGTATTCATCCTGCTTTCTCCTATTGTCTTCTAGCTTCTTCCCGACTTCTTCTCTTAATTTTGTAACGTCAATTGGTGGTGTTTCCATGACATTATTAACGTAACGATCCCCTGTTGCGCTCAATTTAATGCCAAAAAAAACCTCGGCAGGAGTGCTTCGAGTGGTTTTATTAACTGTACTGTTGAGTCCAAGTTGGATTTTATCGATATTTGTGTCCCACTCATTGGTCTGTACGTTGGCTCCAGTTGCTGCCACCGCATCAAGTATGGTTCTGTTGAAACGTTCTACCTGCCCGTTAGCTCTGGGCATAGCTATGGCTGTATGGTAGTGGCGAATTCCTTTTTCTGTGCAGAACTTTCGGAGTTTTGAAGATGTAAAGGCCTTTCCAGCATCGGAGACCATTCGATAAGGGGATCCAAAAATACTGATAATATTATTCAACTGATCAATCACTGGTTTACTTTTAGTATTGGGTACTGCAGAAACAAAAGTGAATTTTGTGAAAGCGTCTACAATTACCAATAAATATTTGTTACCACTTTTGGTTTCTATGAATGGTCCAACGTGGTCTATATGCAGGGTATGAAACGGGCGGGTATATTTAACAATAGAAAATAAGAAACCAGGCTTTTTACCTGCCTGTACTTTATGGTATTGGCAATGTAGACAAGATCTTACATATTTAGTAATGAACCTCCTCATTTTAGGAAACCAATATCTATCCATAACCCTCTTAAGAGTCTTTTCAGCCGAAAAATGGCCCATTTCATCATGGTTTGCTTGAACTACTTGCCATCGGCAATTTTTTGGGACAACCCACCTACGACCATTCTCCGTCAATTTGAATACCCTACCGGCCCTCAAATCATAGTTATTGAAAATATCTTTCTCTTCTTCAATGAGTCCCGATTCTAAAATTTCTCTTATCTTTTTAATTTCTGGGTCTTCATTCTGCACATTAGCTAACCAATCCCCATCAGATATAAGCATAACTGATTCAACATTAGAGTTTTCATTTTCACTGATCACTGGGTTACGACTGAGCGCATCCACATGATGCATTTGTTGCCCTGGTCTATGCTCAATTTGGTAGGTGAATTCTTGAAGACCAAGAACCCACCTACTTATTCTCGTATTAACATATTTTTTCTTGAGGGTATTTTTAACAGCATTGCAGTCTGTACGAATCACAAATTCAATTCCTAAAAGGTAATGTCTGTACTTTTCAACGCTGGTTACTATTGCAAGGAGTTCGAGTTCGAAAGAATGATATTTTTTTTCTTGTGACGAGGTTTGCCTGCTATAGTACGCCACTGGTTTTTCTCCGCAATGAGTAACTTGCATGAGTATTCCACTTAATCCGTCCCGGCTAGCATCAGTATACAATATTGTTTTCAAATTTGGATCGAATATTATAAGTAGTGGACTTGATATCAAGATCTTTTTAAAATATTCCACAGCCTGAGTATGTTTGTCAGTCCACGACCATTTCTCACCTTTTCGCAATGACTTCGTTAATATGCTTGACTTCTCAGCAAATTTATAAATAAATTTCCTGAAGTAACCCACCAGGCCTAGAAACTGTCGTAGCTGATGGACATTCTTAGGTTGCGGAAATTGTTTTACTGCTTCAATCTTATACATGTCTGGGGATACACCATCTCCTGATATTTGGTGACCCAAAAATGTTATACTTTCTTTAAGGAAAAAGCATTTGGGCAAATTGAGCGTAACTTTATTATCTGCAAGCAGATGAAATACCCTCTTGAGCGTATTCAGGTTCTCTTCTTTCGTTCTAGATACTATGAGTACATCATCCAAATATATTATAACATTTTCAAATGTCATGTTACCAAATAGTTTATACATGGCTTTTTGAAACACTGAAGGTGCATTGGAGAGACCGAAAGGAACCCTCAGGTATTCGAAATGACCGTTCGGTGTTATAAATGCAGTTTTCTCCACAGAATCCGGATGCATTGGTATTTGGTGATAGCCTGATTTAAAGTCCAAACTACTGAAATATTTACAGTTTCGTAACCTATCGATAAGATCTTCTATTCTAGGCAGTGGGAACTTATCTCTCACTGTTATGGCATTGAGTGCCCTATAATCAACGCATAGACGTTTTTCGTCAGAATTTTTTTTGTTTACCAAAAGTACAGGGCTAGCGTAAGGAGACTGACTTTCTTGAATGATGTTTGCTTTCAATAATACAGAGATGATTTCATTCAATTTCAGTCTTTCTGTTTCGGCCATCCTATATGGATTTCGAGAAATAGGCTTATCTGTGTTAAAATTATTCTCATAGGTTCGCAATTCATTTTGCTCAAATTATTACAAGAAACTGAAAGAATACTACGATACTCTTATAAAAGATTTTGAATTGCCGTGTCCTCATTGAATTCAATTATCTCATTTATTTTATTCACTCCTTGGTTTGCATAAAAACAAACTCAATTCATCACCAATCCTGCAATAATTGATTTCCTCATGTTCTGTGAAATTTCTACCGATGATGCATTCACTGGATTCCAAATATTCATCAATTACATAAAGCTTACAGGGGAGACATACTTCACCGATATCTATATGGTGGCTTCGACAAATTGCTGAATGTCTATGCCATGTCCTAAAAATCCGGCTAGAGAAATAGGACGATCTAAATCAAAAGTATGTAGGCCCAGACGCTCAACAGTCTGTCTTTCTAACACAGAACAATCACTTCCGAAATCAATAAAAGCTGACACTTCTTTGTTATTGATTGAAATATTTCTGAAGAATTTGCTTTTCTTTCCAGTTGATATTAACTTGACCTCAAATTTTGACTGAACTTCTCCCTTGAATTCTTTTTGCTGTTGGTTCTTTTTTTTTCTTCTGAAAACAGGCAGCTTCAAAATGTCCTGGCTTGTTACAGTATTTACAAGTTTGTTCTTTCGCGATATTTCTGAAGCTACAGTTTTTTTTATATGCCCCGTTTTACCGCATGTGTGACATTCAATTTTTGTTTGAGTTTGGAATTGATTTTGAAATTTCGCATCCCTCGTAGTATTATGAAAATGCGATTTGGTATTCGTAATAGTACTGGTCGAGGTACTGGTGCTACTATTATCATGTGCTCGATCCTTTAAATAATTAGCTAATGAATTCAGTTTATTTATACCACTCGCATTTACTGCG